ACAGCTCAGAGAACTTTACCGGACAGTTTTGGTCAGAGGCTTTCTCGACTCTACATACAGTGGAAAAACATCCATCTTTGGCATGCTTTACAGGCATGTTTTTTATTCTTGTTGACAACACAGTCAGTATTCCACAATTTGTTTCGCATTTCATTTAATGGATGACTAAAAACATGCATGATGCTACCACCAAACAACTTCCTTTCCATGCACAGCACAGACACAGCAAAACAACTCAAATCTGTCTCCCAGATTTTCCATGTATCAGGATGCTTCCAATACTCATCCCTATTTCAGGAGTGCCTGCACCCTTCCATCTACCATAACACTTCTGGCTGTGCATTCTCCTTTTTCTCACCATCCCAACTGTTTGCAGAACCACACTGGAAATTGATCAAAAACGTACCAGGCTTTTAGAGGGCTAGTAAAGGAAGACTGAAAAAGAAAGACTGGGAAGTGGGGAAGCCAGGTCACGGAAGAGGAAATACTGTCTTGGACCAGTTGCTCCACTATCCTTTGACTCTGCATACAGTTCAGAGCAGTTAATAACCGGCCTCTATCAGCTGGCTTCTACCATATAAACCAAACCCAGCATTATCTCAACATGGCAAAGGCTGCCTCAGGCAAGCAAAGGAAAGAAAAATCCACTAGTGGTATCTGCAATCCTAGCCAATCTTCTCTAATTTTTTTCCAATTGTTATGCAGATTGTCTGAGGTGAGCAGATGAGACTTGGACATAACATTGAGGATGCAGACTAGAGATGAGTCATGGATACATGAATACAAGGGCACAACAATGTTCTTATGTCCAAGTAATTCCTGTTATATAATTTGTTCTGCTGCTATCAGTAAGATGTGTTTACAGAGCTATTTATTATAACCCCAAGATTTCACCCTAGCATGGCACCAGTTAGTTGGGAGCCTATTATTTTTATATAAAGAGCTTGAAATAATTTTATGCGTGTACCATTTGACAGTTTATATAAATTAAATTTACTTATCACTTTATGAACCGAAGCATCTCTGTGATGCTCCACCATCATCTGATGTCTTCTTTTTACCCTGAGTCACTTGGACAACCACCATGTGGTGTTTGTATAGCATTATTCCAAGAGAGGTTCTGAGAATATAATAAATTTAACTATGTTTTATTTTACATTTATACTACATATGCCAAGCCAAGAAGGGCATACATGGTATATGTCAGTATCATTCATGACACTTAATCTAGTTTTTCTTAAGCTTCATTAAAGCTAATAAATTCTTCCACATAGAGCAGAATATATTATCAGGTCAGGTAGAAAAGATATTTTATTCACTTTCATTTCAAAGTTCTTTACAGCTCTGTGCTAAATTTGCCTAAACTCACAACCACTCATACAGATGGATGAAAAAACAAAAACAAAGCTTTCATCTGTGACATGCAGAATTTTACGATTTTGTGTCTTTACCTATTTTAAAGGAGTAGCATTTAGTTTGTAACCTGGGAAGAAAATAACCATGTCTTTTGCTGTTCCTACCACTTGCTCTGCTAAAATTCCTTCTTCTCTTTAATCATATCACAGCTTAAAACATATGCGTCAGTTAGAGCTCACATGACCACAAGCTTCACTGCATTCTTAAATGTGTTGATAAAGGAATCTGCTTCTAAAGGTTGAGTGTCTGTTCTAGCACTCTGTGAATGAGGTCAGAAGCATTACAAACCCTGAAGAAATCAGTCAAGGTCAGCCCTAGACTGTTGTAAGGCAGTCGTAACTTGATCGCTACAGCTTTTTTGGAACAACATAATTTGTGCAGCCTGCTTTTCAAATTCCACAGTTCTGTGTAGTTTGCAACTGTACTTCCCCGAGCTGGTTACAGTTTGCTACAACTTTCTACCTACAGCGTTACATTCCAGAAGTTATTTCCAAATTTTACTGAAACAGTGGCCCTTCATCTACTGACACCGCACTTCTGGTTAAGTAGTACAATTCTGTCCTATGGGGTTGGAGGTTCAGATTAAATAGTATAAATTTCTGTACTACATTACAATGGTGGAGATTCATACTCATTTATTCTTTAGCACTTGAAGCGATGAAGTCATCTCTTGTTATTTAGAAATATATTATTTTTTAAATTTTCTTACTAAATTAAAGATATGTTATCCTACACAGGTGTGTTAAGGAAGCGGAAAAATTTTACTAAATGGAAATAGTCTGATCTCAGTCTTAATAAACATGCAATGAAGTTAGGAACGATCACAGCTATTTCAAAAAGACCACAAGCAGAAGGCATAACACAAAAATGAGTTACCTTGGTAAATTGTATCAAACAAAATGAAGATTTTAAGATCTATGGCTTTATGTAACTATCTCTATAGAAAAGCAAACAAACAAAATCAAGAAAATACCATATCACTGAGCACGAGACAGAATTGCACATAACAAATACTCCCCCACCCTCCCAGCATTCTCTCATCAGATAACCACGAGTATGTTTCTAACATGATTTTAAACAGATCTGGAATTCATTCTAATCACACAGAATGAATATACTCTGCACCATTGGCCAACCTACCTGATACCTGCAGTAGCTGAAAAATTCTGCTGATTTAACACTGGCACAAAAATTACTTTGTTTTTCCCTGCAAATATTTTATTTTAGGCCTAATGTACATCACAAAACAATTTCATTCAGTGTACCAATTTATGTAATATAGAAGTAACATAGGAACTAACAACCTGGTACATATAGGCTTCAATATACTCCCATCTACTAAATATTGGTATCATTTTCTGCATAAGATACACTATTTACAAACACTATTTACACACTAGTTTTCCTCATTAAATAAAACAGAATGGCACTTTTCACTTATCTTTGATGTAAACATCTTGTATTCCACCATCCAATATAAATCTTTCCGTCTTGTAATAATGTTAAAAAAAAAAAAAAAGTACTTAACATATCAATCAGCTTCAATTCTATAACCCATGATTTTCACACAGTGCTTGGTATTCCAGATGAGTTATAAAAACAATAATTAATACCTTATGTAAGATTACGGCAGATCACTCATCCATCTCCCTACAGGGATCAGTTTTACTTTCCTGATAGATCATTTATCAAACACAATGAATAATCTCAGCCAGCAGGCATACAGATAGTACTGGGTTTCAAAAATAATTAAGGATACTAAAACCTTCCCATTAAGCATGATTGAAGTTTTTCTTAGAATAAAACCCAAAGATCACATAAAGTAGAACTGCAAGAGCAAAACTTGTGCTTAGAGAAACATTAATGAATTAAATTTAATTTTTGAACATCTGATTACATATATTATTATAGACTATAACATGCAAGCAAAAAAAAAATCTGAAAGAAATGCGATTTAAAACTATCTAAGCTACAACAACCCAGCCATTGAGCCATTTCCCAGACTGTTATTGTTATGCCTAACAGACTACTCTTTCATTTCTTGTCGATCATAATTACAGTTCCATAATTGAAATACAGTAAATCACCAAGCAGTAACTTTGAAAGATGGTTCACTGAGGTTAAGCTGTCACTACAATTACTGTATAATTATAATAGAAAAGTTAATTTAAATGTTCTAGTTCTTCCTCAAAGGAAAAAAAAAAGAATTTGGTTCAAGCTCAGATGAGTCAAATATCTTCATGATGATGTAAACAAAAGAGAAACAACACTTTTAAGCAAAGTCAAACAATCTCAAGTAGAAGTCCTAGGCTGCATATACAAACCAGTGCATATAAATTTCTCTAACTGCTGAACAAAACAGGACATTTTAAAACAATTTTAAGAATACTCTCTCTCTGAATTCAGGTGTGCATTATCTATCCAGCATCTTCTACACAAGATCCTATTTTGCTCATAAAGCACACAAAGCTTTGGAAACTTCTTTCAAGTTTCCAGATCAATTTTAGTTCAGTTCTATACTATGCTTACAGCCATAACTAGCACAGTAGCTGCAACTCACTCAACACCACTGAGGTGGGAGAAAAAGGTATAAATTAGCACTAACACTTCTAAGCATAAAATTGGGCCTCCAATGTTGATACATTGGTCAAGCACAGCTTGCTTTCAGAAACTTTGTCAAATATTTTACACAAATAAAATGAAAGAAAGAGATAAAGACAAATAATTATCATTGTAAAAACAATTTCACAAGACTCGTTCCTTTACAAAAAAAGAAAAAAAAAACACAACACATGTCTGTTCCTAGCTGCTGTCTTCTGCTATGATAACTTCACAAAGGACATATATTGAAAAACAGTACCAGATAAGCACTTCAGAAAACTGCTCCTATGTTTCTGCTCACAAAGACTCCCTGCTGATGGTGGAATGAAATTCATTCAGTCCCTTTTCTCCCTTGCTGGTTTGAAACATCCACTCCCTGCTGTTTCCCTTGTGCTGACACACATTTGGCCACCCAGTAAACAAGATTAATCCAATAAACAAAATAAAACAAAATAATACTAGTAAGTAGTTAAAGGGGAAGGGTGGGACAATGCAACCAAGGAACAGAACGTGACACAAGGAGCTGATGGTAGGAACAGCAGGCTGTAAAGAACTGCAGATAACTGCTTGAAGATTCAAAATTGTGATTTCACCAGCATCACTGGCAAGACATTCTGGTGCTCTTCAAGGCATCCTCAGGGTTTTGATGATGCCATTCTACCCAAGACAAGCAAGTGCCCATCTGTACCATAATCTCGTCCATTCTCTCTTTAAGTATGCAATGAGGCAACATCAAGCATGTCAAAAAAAAACATGTTAAACAGTAGAAACTTTGAAGAAAGGGTCACAAATTATGCAATGCTTTGATTTTTTGTTGCAGCTAAAGTGTATGAAATAAAACTCATTATCAGCAGCAAAGAATCTCCTAGCCCAAATATACCTATTTATTTTGCTAAAAGTATTAGGATCTGAAAGCATCTACTATGGGCCATCTGTGATAGGTATTTTTCCCTGTAAAGATTAATTGTAATCACTTCTTTCACCTTTGTTGCTTTCTCCAGGCTCTGCTGCAGATTGAGCAATTCTTTATCGTGTTGCTCTTTAAGTTTATCCATCTCCATGTCATGGCTAGATACTTCTTCTTTTAGTGCTCCTTTTAAAGCAGTAAGCTCTCGCTCTCTCTTTCTCAAAATTTCTTCTTGTTGTTCTTTTGCTATTAATACTTCTTGCAGATCCTGCTTCATTTGCATCAGCTCCTAAAGATCGTTAAAATCAAAAATAAACACAATTGTCTTATAGATGGCTCTGATGACTGTTCTTTTTGTTTCAGAGAGGGAAGGCAATTAAGAATAAGCTTCCCAGGCCAGCTTCATTTCTTATGACCGATATATTGTTTGCAACTTTATTACAGAATGCTAAAAATCTACTAGAACCCAAGATTGCTAGAAGTGCAACACAATGACCCATTATATAAAACATCAGTTATGTATCTGATGCTACAGAACTGTAAAAAGACTAACGCTACACTTCCTATAAATAAAGCAGGAGTAAACCTAAAGGCTGCATTTTAACAAATCCCTCAGTCCTACCTTCAGCTGCAAGAAGGTAGATGAGAAGAAATAAAAATCTTTGTTTCCTACACTGTAATAGAAGTGAACACAATAATTCCTTGTTGACTTTTTGTTGGAAAGATTAAAGAAAGTTGCTTCTGCAAGTTAGAACAGTTGAACACCTGGAGGGGTTGAAGGCAAAACAGCACGGGATAGATGTAGCTATCCACAGCACGGGGGAAGCTGGTTCATAGCATATCTTTCTCGTGAAGATGTATGTGTATACCCATGCCCTCATATTTAGCAGTGCATTTTCAGTTAGTCTTGATGTTAGTACCCTCAGCCTATATGTATACTCTCCTTTCCCTTCTCTCAGTTCTTCTTGTTGGCAGCTGGATTTAAGAACTTACCCCACCCCTTTTATTCATTGTTTCAGTCTTTTAAACAGGTATTTTTGAAACTGTTCCATACTTCAATTCAATATATGGCATTTATAACATGCCATGGCACCAAATGCATTTCCCATTTCTCCTGCTGTCATCAAGTTTTGAAATTACAGCCTTGACTAAAAAGAACCAAATAGTTAGAATTTGGGCTTTATTTTTGGATCACACATGGACTTACTTTAATTTTAAGTTACACTAAGTAAGTTATCCTACTTCTAGTATTTTATAACTAACCTCAATTAGAACCTCTTTCTCCCCTTCATCGGTATGTTTTGCATTATCCAGTTCATCATGCATCTCAGAGAGCTGGTCTTGAAGATCTCTGATCTCAGTCTGGTGTTGTTCCTGTTCCATCTTCACTTGAAAAAGCCTCATCAGGAAAAATCAGAGAAGATTTTTTCTTTTAATGGCAGAAATAATGATTGGTTCTTCCAAGTACTAAAAAGATACAAGTATCTAGTCTCATGTTGCCCAAAGGGAATGGAATATATGAGGCAGAACAATGAAATGGCAGAGGTGGAAAAATGAAAACTCTTTTAAAGTAGACATTTAAATAGATACTTGCATTATATTTTAAACCTGGTACAATATTCTTGACTAAATCACTCTACGTTTTCTGTATTTTAAAGTTTAAAACTACATACTATGACTATAAAATATTAAAAGCAACTTGCAATACAAAGATGCCTATAAATCAGCAATCTTTCCCTTCAAGATATTCAAAAATACGCTATTTTTAAACAGTAGAAACATTTTCTACAATAGCAAACGTCCCTGTCTGATTACAATATTATCTTCTGAAGACCCAGGTACGTTTAAACTAAAAAGTTTAAGTAAAGGTATAAATTCCAATTAATAAGTTCTCAAAAATGCACTCACTCCTCTAGGTTCTGCCGGAGTTCCTTCTCGTTTTCTTCCAGCTTCTTTTTTAAGGCATCTCTTTCACATATACTTTCATCAAGTTGGAACTGAAGATCTTTCAGGCTTGCTCGTGTAGCATCTCTCTCCTCTTTTGTGTTTTGCTGATTCTATTTTTTGTACATCAAAAGTTAAGCAAGATAATATACTAAGCATAAAAAAAAAAATTAAAGACTCTTTCATTATATGAAAGGAGTCATTTCAAGGGTTTGATATTTTTCTTTTGCAGAAGTATTTATTGTTATGAATATTAAAATCTTGAAACTGTTATTAAAACACACTAACCATAGCTTTTCAATTTTTGTGACAAATGTGAAGTTTTCTCATCAGTTTCAAGTACATTGATTTTTAGTAGGACTCAAAATGCAAACTGAAAGAAACCAGTCTGTCCTACCCATGTCTTTAGAGCATGGCTATACTTAATTACTTTGGATTCAGCACTGAAGTAATGCTTTAATTAATAAACAGCTTCTGAGTAATACGTTTTGTCTCCCACTCCATATAGGTCTCCCAGTGAACAGATTAAAATCTCCCTCAGCAGATACCTAAGAAACTTTATGTATGTCTGCCTAGTATTTATATTCATGGTGCCAAATTTCTTCTCAAGTACTACTGAGAAGGAAGTGATTTCCTAGAAAGGGTAACTGTTATGAACAATGACACTTCAAAAATCTGTAAAAGCATAGGTACATCTGGACAAAAAGAATACGAAACAGAACAGCTTCTATTATTATACCCAGACACATTCGGCCACTCACAGAGGAATATTAACAGGTTTTTACGTAAAACTTACTGGCTTTCATACAGAACATTTTAGAACACATGCACTGCATGTTGCAACAAGCACTGCAAAAATATTATGATTACGTAAGCAACAACAGTTTACAAAACATTCCTAATATTTATATCTCAAACAGAAAATTCATTGGAAAATTGGACAAAAGATACCCTTTTCTGATACAAAAAATCAACTTGCTGATCACTTGTCACTTACTTAGAAAAGTATATTTGACAAAAACTTTATAACAAAAAAGGGCAGTACCCTGATTTCTAGATCCAGTTTTTTCTGTAATTCTTCCACTTTCCTTTCAAGCTCTGTTTTTTGCTCCACCAACGCTTTTACTTCAGCTGAAGAATCAGAAACCTGCAATTAAATAGATACTTATTCCCACAAAGCCAAGACATTCTTTGACAATTTCCTTTTAAAATCTAAAGTGAAACTACAGGCAACACTAATAAAGTGTGGCATCAACTGCCTGAGCTCATCTTGGACTTTTCATATGGGTCAAACCAAGCTAACATTTTCAAAAGAACCACAATTTGATTTTCATTAAAATTCTTAATAATGGCTCAAGGTAGGTTGCCAACAACACAGAGAACATTACGAACCTAAAAATATTTAAATTAGGCAACACCTAAATTAAATCAATAGTAGTTGGGGACAAATTTCACTGAGATACCACCACACAAAACAGACATCAAAGGGATGCATGCTCATGTGTCAAAACAGATTTTCAAATTAATTTTCTGTAACTTCTAAAAATGTATTTTATATTTTAATTTTCACTAATTATAGCCCAGAATGAAATAATCACCAAAAGCAAGCATTTAGCCTTTCTTATGCTATCACTTCAACAACTGGACATTTCTTCCCATTGCTTTAGAACTGAAAAAGCAGTGTACCACATGGCAGGAAACAAAAACATTTTAAGAAGGCAACTGTCAAATGATATTAGTGTAATATAGCTTTTAAACAATATCCTAGCTTACTGGTTTTCAAAATTGCACATTAAAACACTCTCTATTTAGGTATCTATTTACATCATTATAATGAGAAGATGTTCCAAGATTATTCTTAAAAGCTACATACGTTGGCTTTTTCTTCGATCCAACAACCTTTTGATGTCTGAGAGATTTATTGTTAAGTTTGCACCTCTCTTTTCTTGTAATAAATGAACCCCGAGACAGTCCTCATGGCAGACTCCTTTACGCTCTTTTTTAAATTGTCAAGAAAAATCTTTCCTATAAGACACTTCAGTGCATGATTAACATTAAGCTACACCACTGGGAAATTACAAGAATGGTCTCATTGAAGTCAGTGAGGGGATTCAAACTTTCAAAGAACTGTTTGAACACTGCATCACTATGAAATAAGCCCAAACGTTAAAAAATAAATAAAAATTTACCGGTGTCTTTCCAGCAGCTCTTGACTTTAATGTCTGAATTTTCTCAAAAACCAAGTTGACTTTTCTCTTTGTTGCATCATCATTATCAGCACTTCTAAAACACAGAGAAGTAAGCAATGATGTGATCAAAGGCACTATTTCATTAACATCAAAACAAATTCAAAATAAGCGTCCAAACTATTGAAAATCACAACCATAAAAAACTACTATAAAAATAAGTCAAACTATCTCAACTATGATTTCATTAAATCTTCTGAAGAAAGGTTGTTAACAATTTAAATTTCAAATAATTTCTTTAAAAGTATCACTGAACTCTTTAATTGCAGCTCTCTTCTACACGACCGTAGCTGTGGAAAGACAGGTATTCAGCATATATATTACTCAAACATACAGAAATTAAAAGTAATTACTACTAGGTTTTTCAAGTCCTGACTACTGCACCATTAAAACATTAAACAGCTGCCAAAAACTCTTAAACAGCTGCCAAAAACTGCTACATCTGTACAGTTGTACCTATGACAGTTCAGCAATGCAAAGACATTTGAGTGCATCACAGGTATTTTAAGTCATTTGTCCTTCCTTCCTCACCTTTTAATAAGTTATCATTAGAAAATATCAAGTAACAAAGTTCCTGGTGGAGAAGGTATTCTGTACACAGCAAGAGAATTTCTGTAAATTCTTAAAATATATATATTTTTTTCTGTTTTATAAAGCACAAGCCTAAACTCCCATCAGGCATCATTTGAGTTCTTCATGAACATCCGTATCACATAAGTTTAACAGCTTAAGCATTTAAAAGACAAAACATATTCTGAATCACAGATTTCAAGTACTTTTAATCAAATCTTGAACAATATCTTATGTAAGATATTATATCCTGACTAGCTAGGTATTTTGAGATCCTGTAATGCCTTAAAAGACACAGTTGAGATACAAAACTATGAAACAGTCATTCCATTTAGTGATAGCTTTGATTTTACAATTTCAGATTTTAAACGTAATAGAAAATAAATGTTGAGCAAACATAACCTCCCCTCTAAAAGTTAATTATGTTTACTGACCCTTCTTTAAGGTAATTGTAAAGTATCTGTTTAGCAGTCTCTTCATTTGTTTGCTGTGCAATGTCTTGCTGGCCTTTTAAGAGATCAGGAGTTGCCTAAAAGGACAAAATACAATGTCAAAAAGTATAACCCTATCAGAGTTGTAAATACAACCTTTCCAGTTGAAATTCTCCATTCTGTTCTATTATGAAGAAGCTTACGTACTGTGGACCTCAAGTTCTCTAAGATTCATTGGAGTTTTAGCTTACTGCAAGAAGGAAGCATACACTACACCAAAAGACAGAACACTATTTTGTATAAAGTTCCACAGATTTCAGCATTCTGCTTCAGAAATATCACAACATTATTTACAATAATCTTCCTTGTCCCCACCATCTTCCTTCACCCAGACAAGAATAAGATTGTTTTTCAAAACACATTTTCGATAGCCTCAACTACAGGAATAATTTTTGCATTTACTAATTAGAAATAGTACATTACTGGATTTTGTTCTAATGAACAATAGAAACACATGCATCTAATGATACAAGAACTTTATTATGTTACAATGCAAAACATAACTTAAAGAGTAAATTCAAAATTACCTGTGTATTAGGGACAGATGAAAATGTCTTTACAGAAATCTTCTTGGCTCCTGAATCTGATGGAATTGTGATACGGTTTGGCAACAACAGAGTAGAAGTTACTGTTTTAACTTCATCTCTCTTATTCTGTCCTGGGAGCGTGGATGACCTAAACGTGAAGCTCTCAGTATTAGCTCCATTTTGTTTATGATACTGCAAAGAACTGAAATGACTGTTCTGAGAGTCTTTATCAGGCATTTGCAGTTTTCCAATACTTCGAGCAGAAATTTTCATGTCTTTGGAAGGTGGCTTTTGCTCTCTGGATAACTGCTTGTGGAGGCAAACTTTAGACGGTCTTAGCAAGTGCTCAGCTGATTTACCCAAGCTTTTACTGAATTCACCTAAATTATTTGAGTTTATATCAAACCCTAATGGCAAGGCACTATCAACACTTCTTGATCTTTTACGATCATCTGGATGAATTCTATTCCTTTTTCCTGACCTACCTCTTCTGTGAGGATCAACTTTCTTGTCAAACTTCTCAATTAGCTGATCTACTCCTGGAAGGGAACCGGTGTCAATATCACGGCCAGTTCCAGGTAAAAATGGGATGTATCTTCTGTTTTCATGCCGATTAACATTGTCTGCATAGATTGCATACTCTTGGTCGTCAAGTAAAAATCTGTACAAGGAATTTGCAGAAGTGGGAGTAGCTGATGAGGACGATGATCTTCGTGAGTCATCTAACACCTGCCCAGCTGAATCTTGTCTGCGGAAGGGAAGAACATCTGGTCTAGGTTTTCTAGTTTCCGGATAAGCAATAGGACTAGCACATGGGGATCCTCCTGTAGATGAAAACGATTCTGAAACATGCACTTCACTTGGGCTGATAGCACTACCGGGACAATCCAACACCTGTTTATTTTGGTCTTCTATGTCTACTGCCCTGTTTAAATGTACTTTTTTTGAATTTGCTGTGGCTGACTCTGCAAGATACGTATTTGTTTTCTGTAGGGACACAACTTTAGATGAGGAAATCCAAGGCTTTGCTTCAGTTTTATCTTCTTTTGCAAAAGATGTAGATTTACTGCACATGGAAGACTGGTAACTATCCAAGCTCAAGTTATTCTTCTCAGGATCATAAGGCTGTAAAAGCTCAGGATGTCTTTGAAAGTTCAACAAATTGGAGGATTTTGGCAATCCATCTCTAAAATCTGATAGTCCGTTTTCCTTTTCATCCAGATTGGTTATCTTGAGGCTTTTAAACATACAGGGTTGAACAAGCTGTGTTGCAGGAAACTGTGTGTGTTCACTGTTTCTGTCCTCCAGTTTAAAAGCAGTATTGGATTCTGTGGATGGCTTGCTTGCAGTCTGAGAAAGGACCTTCTGATCTTTTCCAGAAGGAGGAGGATTTTCTGACAAACATCCTTCTGTATTGTTTAGTACTATGTAAGGATGTCCATCAATTCCTTGAACTCTAATACTGACACCATAAGATCCCGTCTTAGAATTCTGTGCATTCCTATTCTTCTGAGTCTCCTCACTTGCAAGTTCAAGAGTAACTTCATAGTCCTGCTGCATGTGCTTAAAACCAGGAAAATATGGCTCCATGACCGTCTGAGGATTGCAGCTGAATAGAAAAAAGTTACCAAAATCAATTGTTTTAAATACTTTAAATTATTTCATTAATTACTTTAATCAGTCATTCAGTACAACTCTGAAGACAATAAAATTAATCTATAAGCTATACAAGGCCCAAAGCATATGCATTGTTAAACAAACAACTGACTGACCAGTTCTGGGTGAAAGATAATGTTATTTTATGAATGTAAATGTTATGAAATAACAACAGTTAAGATTACCTATGCAGAGTTGGTGCTGGTTGCTTTGGAATCAAATGACTTCACATATAACCAATCCTGGTGCAAATTTTTATTTTTTTGATTCAAGACAGCTTTTATTTTGGGTATTGCCATTTTATGTACTCAAAGATTGTTCCCTTCACAAGCCCACGTTGATTTTGTAGCCAAAAGTTAGCATCAGCCGTATGAATATGTAAACATAATCCCAGGAAAGCAAAACACAAGCAGGCAGTTTTAGGTCGTGAGTTTTATGTACCTAAAGCACTGTAAGAGAAGTCAATATTCTCATGCCTTAGAGTTCCATTTGTATGTACTTTGTACTTTGCTTTCAACAGTTGTTTTCAGAAGTGGAAAGGTCACTGTTTCCTCTAACTTTGTCACCCCATGGCAACTTTATGTCACCCTATCCCATTTCACAGCAAAAAAATATGCTTCTAAAGACATTTGAAAATAAACTTTTTCATCTCTCAGTCATCCACAACTGTAAATTTTGCTACAAATAATTTAACAGTCTTCTAGCTGTGGGCTTGTTTCAGAGAACAAGCTGATATTTTAAGATAAATACTTTGCTATGCAACAAAAATGGAAAAATAATGCTTGTATTTCCAAGGTTGGTAGTATATTTTTCTCAGGAGCAACAGGAATGTGAAGTCCAGGTCGTATGTGCCAGAACTGTTTCAGTTCTAGAAAACAATAAAATTAAATGCTACCTGCACTTTTAATACTAAACTCCATTCATTCCTTTCTGTAAGAGCTGCTTTTGTGGGTATTTTTACTTCACTGTCTGTTGTGTATTATGAGTGTTTTAGTAGTTACCAGTAGCAGAGGCAATGCAGACACAGAAAGAGCTGTGTCTTCAGAAGAATGGAACTCCAGACTCTGTCAGACTGATGCAAAACCTGAAAGGAATAAACTTTTGAACTGAGCTGGAGAGCTGAGTAATCACTGAAGCTTGACAAAACCAAGATTACTAAATGACAATGAATAATAATCAAAGGGAAACTGAAACAACAGGATGTCTCATTGAAAAAAGAACAAGCCTCTGCAGCAAGTTTCACTCACCTATGCATCTGAGTGCGAATCATCTCCCTCAGATATTCTAAACAACAGATTTTTTTTTGTTTTTCCTGAGAGTGTATTAGAAAGTTTGGTTGAATATTAACAGTATGCTAGTTTCTAACCATTTCTTCTTTGTCCCCTCAAAACCTTTTCTTCTCCCAATAAAAACAACTCCAGCTCTTCCTCAATAGCAGGCTCACTTCATCTGAAAGTATGATGAAATATGCTACTCTAATTACAATGCTACATAATAATTTATTATTTTGATGCAGCACATAAAGAGCATTCTCACTATTGAAGTTTTTCTTAGATACAAAAAGATGTAGCGAGCTATGTAGTGAGTTATCACAGGGGTTAAGATCACTTAGTAAAGGGAAATAAATTGAAACTACAAATTTGATCTCTATTTAAGACTTCTTCAAGTAAGAAGAGAAACATAATGAAGGGAAAAGCAAACATGAGCCAGCAAAGACTACAAGAAGTGGAGAAATGAAGGAGGGAGAACACAGAAAGGAAACCACAAGTACCAATACATTTCATTATCTTGGGCTTCTGTTCTTTGTATTTTTCTGTATCACTTGACCTTCCTTTATGATTACTTGTAACAGCTCACATTAATTACAGTGTTTCTGTGTATAAGCAGAGACAAAGCGACAAAGTAAAAATAGCAAGAGCTTATTCTAAACACACAGAAGTCAATGAAGTGATCTCCATTGATTTGGTGGGTTTTTGACCAGAGCACTGAAATCAGCTACTCAGCTGCACTGATGCTAGCTATGGAAACAATGGAGGAAAAAAGGAACAGGACAATACAGATCAGCAACTCAGCATATACACTGTAGAGAAACCAAGCTATGCTGATCTAATAAATGGTAACTGGAGATTGGAGACGAAACCAGGGTCTCCGCTCTGTTCTTTAACCTGTTGAGATCTAGTGACATTTATCAATGCCTCAAAATTGTTCCTTGTTTGCTCAAGGCAACAAAAACATAAGTATTTTTTAAAGTTCAAAAGTTTTTATCAAATAAAGTTAGCATTTTGAAGCTTTTATGCTTTCCATTCTTATATAAAAAGTCTCTTTGGGAAGAGACTTTATCAGGGAGTACAGTGACACAGGGCAAGGGGTTTCTAAACTAAATGACTAGATAGCTTAGACTAGATAAGGAAGAAATTCTTCACTCAGAGGGCAGCGAGGCACTGGAACAGGTTTCCCAGTGAAGCTGTGGATGTCCCATCCCTGGGGCAAACAGTGGAAACAGTAGTTAGGTTAACAATCTAGTTAAAAGTAACCAGTAGTATTTTTTTGTCTCTTATAGACTACAAAGAAATAAGTGCTTTTGTCTTGTTTGTGAGTATTAAAATACTTCACTTTATTATATAAAATGATAAAACCTTGTGGAAAACAAAGTTTAGAAACATATTTAAATAAAACATTTTATTTTTTCATAACTGAAAAACGTATATACAAGAAAGTAAGACAGCTGGCCCAATCATTCAAATATCTGAAGGCTTAACTTAGAGTTCCTGTTTTATTAAACATCCAACCAGTGAATGAACTACCTAATATCAAAACGTTATTTTACAATACGTGAAAACGTTGTTTTTTCAATATTATAAACTTTATTTTTTAATTAAAAAAGTCTAGCATGTTTACTAATACACACCCTTTCCAAAGAAAACTTAAAACCTCTAATGATGTTAATTGTGTAATTATAGTCACAGTCATTTTTACGCACACATTACATAGTTGGCATCCCAGACTTTGGCAGGCTTACAGCAATAGATTAGGATGAGAGGACTGACGCTGTGACTCCACCATCTGTCTACCCCACTCCTCTGATGGACGTCACCATCTCCCAAACAGGAACTCCGGAACCATTTGTGTGCACACCTCTGCCATGAGAATTTGCAGCTTGGCACACTAGGTGAATGCAATCAGTCTCGTTTTCTGTACTACGAATGAAATACATTCTGACCTGACAGAGGGGAGTGGCAGGCAGCTGGGGGCACTGACAGCTAAAACTGTCTAGTTTTAATCTTCTTTAAGGCTGCCAAAGCTCTCAAATGTTATGACAGAACAGTCTGTTTACTCTTAAGCTTACGAAAAGAGGTTAGATATTTTAACAGTACTTAAGAAGAGATTTTTCCTATTTGCGTGGCTGCTTATTTCATTGCAGCTACTTATCAAAAACAGAAAGTGTTTTCTTATTATTGAGGGAGACACAAATTTTGTGTCCAGGTTTCCTGCCACACTAATACTTTCAATTTTGTATTATATAATCTTGTTAGTAATTATTTGCAGTACCAAAGGATTTTTAAAAAAGAATACGAAATGAGAGACTTTTGTTTCTTTCCAGAAAACAGAGTTAATGATTATGCATAAATTGTTAATTCAGTAGGACACTGTCATATTATTTTACAAAACCAGTTCTCCTGTATGTCACAACAGCATCTACAAATTAATCAGGACATTTGAAATAACTACTTCAAGAAATTATTTTATTCTGAAAATATTCCACTTGCTAAAATGACAGAGAATATAGTCAAGGACATGCAACCACCAATATCTTTCAGAGATGAAAAGTTGCAGTTCAGAACAGGGAAAGTATATTTACATCTGCCTGGTAACTTTATGTGCTCCTGACACCAAGTCAAACTATTGAGCAACAAAGTTTTACCTGAAAACTTGCAAACACTCCAGAAAAGAGTCTAATTTTCTCCAGTTACACCATATACACTTAGGCAGCTGGATTTATTGATCAACAAGCTCAATAAAGCCATTTGCATCTCCAGCAAGTCCAAAAGAACAGAGAATTAAAGATCCAGGAATCACAGTCAGACACAAGCAAAGCAAATCTGCTCCATGCATTATGTTTTACACGTGTCGTTAGAGAGGATTCACTGTATTTCCCAAGTCATTACCTTTAGTTCAGATTTCAGCAGAAGAGTCATTTTCAATCAAGTATCTCCTTGCAAAGTTCAGAACACATTGCTGTGAAGGATGCTTACTCCATTTCAACGTTGTGTTTCAGCAGCTGCCTTAGAACAACACAGGCCATGACACTTTACCCCATAAGAGCTGCTGTTCTGGCATCCCGTTATCTCAGCTGTACAAACCCCGTTCTTTTTATGACAAAGCCAACAGCCATGCAGCTGCACAGTGACCCAGACCAGCTTTACTGATCCGGAAAGAAAAAAGGCAGTTTTCTATCAGATCAGCAAGTGAGGGAATAATGAGATCACCTATTCTAGCAACAACATGGCCTTGGTGCAGCTCAAGCTTAACACTTCTGCAAACAAACAAAAAAGTAGCACTCAAAGCTTTTCAGGCCTTTCAGTTTTTATGATTTCTTTTTAAAAGAAACCTTTGTAAAGACTTTTAAACAATCATTTTAAATACTGGCCTCAGTTGGTATGAAAGCCCCATATTTTATAATTTCTGAGAAATGGTCTCATTTTTCTTAACAACTTATTTTTGCCAAAAATGGAAACATTGCTGTTCAGAAAGGGAACTTGTCAGGAGAGGGCCTAACACCTGAAAATCCAATACTCTCAGTGTTCTTCTGTAGCAGTTTGTTCTTCAGTGATACGATACTTTGCAAAGTACCACAGGAGAGGAACACTGAAGATTTAACTGTCAAAAACATTTTTTATACTGCCTCCAAAACATGTCCTTTCACAGCTGATGCCACCTATTTTAATGCTAGCT